ACCACATGGGACTGAGCCTTTAATACCCTTCAGGATTTAAATCATATGGGTAGTCAAAACTAATTACTTGATTGAGAGTTTTTCTGGGGAGGGGCTCTACAACCCATCCCCAAAAGATAAGCAATTTGAATTCTAGTTTATAGGGTGGATAAAAAACAATGATTTTTAAAAAATTGGATTTTTGATTTAAATCAGATTTTTTTATTTAATTGTATTTTCATTTTTAAGATGCTTTTGTAAAACATGAAACATATAAAGATAGCTTTTATTTAAGATATGTTAAAGCTCAAAGAATTTCATCATGGAATAGGCATTATAACTTCTAATTATATACTATTTGAGACAATATATTCATGTAACTTTTTTAGAAGTTTTATAAATAGGTCACAACAGGCAATGGACTATATTAGGGGCCCAATCTTATGGGATTCTCAGGGGCTTTTTATGGATTAGTAAAATTAAAGAAAACCACTCGACCCAATGGGACTTAGTACTCAGTCCAGAAGATCCCACTAAGCATCTCTGTAATGCTTTGTTTCAGTTCTCAAACTATGGATTTGTGTCTCCTGAGATCATAGACACTGTTCTTTGGGTAGCTAGATATCTTTTATTGGATCAACTAAATAGTTGGAAAAATTGTTCTTTGCAAGCTTTCTGGCAAAAACACCCTTCTTCAGGCATAGGGAGAGTTTGTTGTCTCTAGAGATAACATCCTTGTTAACAGCAGTATACGGAGATGAGAGATAACAGACCTGATTACCTACCATCAGCCCTATTGTCTCTCTGCAAGTTTGTGTACACACAGTCAAGCCCTTACCTCTCTCTAAAGGCGCAAAGTTTCAGAAGTTACATGCATAAAGGATATCAAACAACAAGAATGCACTTTTTGTAGCAGACAACAATTAAATTGAGGCTTCCTGAACAGCGATTTAAATCGATTTGATTTAAATCAAACCCACCCTACTTGTTTAAAATGTTCCTGTTGCTCAAATCTCTGTTGATCAAGACATAAAAAATGACTAAGATTAAAAATAGCTCCTTTACCCTAGTGCCATTATGGTAATGCAGGAAAATCTAGTTTAAATTTTAGTTTCCAACAACACGGGTTCATAGCTGAATGTGGAAGCAGAACAGAAAGCTGCTCATTCCTTGAGAAAAGGGAAGTTGCTTTCCCAACTGGTTCAGAAGAGCTGGCCTACATTAACCTTCAGGGCAAATGGGGTGGCAGCTGTATGTCTAGTCACATAGTTTCTGGGGTAGCTGGAGGGGATTTGAGGTTGGGACTTTTTGTAGTTCAGAGATTTTTTCCCCCCCAAACTCTGTTTTTTGTCAGGCAAGGTTTATTTTCATATCTGAGGTTTTAAAATTGATATTATGCATCACCACAGCAACAGCGGGCCAGTAGAGGTCAAAGTGAAACACCGACCTTTGAAACAAAAATCTTCTCTTTGGGGCTGGGGGGGATGAGAGCTCCCGGAGGGGTTTCGTATCGCACAACCCACCAGCTCAAAGCCACGGTCACCAGTCAAGCCAAGTCATGGAGGTTGTTGATATCCAAACAGAAATAACCATCCACATCAGGATCAAAGTGAAAGCACACCCAGACCGAGCCTCTGTGTTTAAACATTAAACAATAGCTCCCAAACAGCAGAGCTAATCTCAAATAAATCTGCCACTTGACAGGTAAAAGGTGTGGCGATAATATGTGGACTGTAACATGATATCATCCATTAAACAGTAGTTTATGGAGAAACACCGCTGGAAGACCCACCTGAAAGGTCTCAACGGTGTGGTGTGTTTTGCCAGGTTTTGTGAAATTAAGGTTAACTGCACAGGGAAACCACACTCTGAACAACACTACTGAGCATCAGGCTCTTTCCGTGGGAAGCCACACGTTGAACAAGCGGCGAGAGGGACACTGAAGTTCTTACTTTTCCTTTCCACTTCCAAATGAGTCTTGTTTTTCCTTTTTTTCTGATGTGAAATCTGTTGGCAATTGCTTCAGGGCCAAGCAATAGGATTCAGGAGCAATAAGTTATGCAATAGTCATGCATCGTCAGCAGGGAGCTGCTGTTTCACCTTATATTTACAAAAAGGACTTCTCCACGGGATAGCACTTTGCAACAAAGACGAGCTGTCCCTTCAAGTGATGCAAACTAACTTACCCCTGAACTGTTGTGCATCATCCTAATTTGCAAGCATGGCAAGGACCATTAAAGGTGGTCCCAGGTATATCAGCAACATCCCTTAGTTGCCAATGCAGTAGCCCACAGTAATATCTTATTGGAGGATGCTGAAAGATCCAGTGTAATAATAATTAAAAAAAAAAAAACCTCTCCAGCAATGGCACACAATTCAGACCCCAACAAATGCCCTCTCCAGTTTAAGACATGTCTGAATGCAGGCAGGATGCCATCCAAAATGCCACTGCTATCCAGGCAGACGGGGACCATCTTCACTAGTAACAGGAAAGGTTAAGCACTCAGTGGTAATTAGCAGGCTGTCTGGTTTCTTGGGAAGAAGCTGCATACCCACATACATTCAAGAATTGTTAACACATCTCCAACATATTCATAGTGCTGGTCCGCCAATGGCATTCGAATAAGTAGGGAGGTCCACTAGAAAGAGGATTTTGTCAACCTCGGAGGCCAAGCCAAGCCCCACCTTTGGGAAGATTGAGACTTCTGCATTTCGAAGGATTGGGAACACCAGCCCTGAAGAGCTGAGTCTTTTCCACAAAGAACATGGGAAACTTGCTACAGCGGTCCATAGGATGGCTACTGTGGGAGGGAACAGGGTAGCCGTGCCAGCCCTGTGATCTTGCTGATGGGTGAGAGGAGCTTCTTGCTACCTTGGACATGCAAAAGCCAAGAAACAGGATTTTCCTCTGAAAAACGATGGAGCTGAGAAACTAAAAAGAGGCAGTTCAGGGCAGTTCTCTGCAAGGGAAGCGTAGAAGATAAACATCAACCCGGCCAACTAATCCAGGGCCAAAGAAACAGACTGTAAGTGCTCCGAACAAATTGCCCTCGCTGAGCCGCTAAGATAAGTGGAGGAGGGAACAAACAATAACCGTACTATGAGTTGAGCATATCCCCATGGCAACCTAACCATCATCTGACCTCCAAACGTGCTGTATTGGGTGATCCAAAGTTTGAAGCGAAGGGGTGGGTTTTTCACGGAGAAGGATCTTGGTGCAGACCCCACCGAAGAGGCACAGAGGAGCAGGTGCGACTGTGATGGAGTGGCAAGCACAAGCAGTGCTGTTGGTCTTTGATAGGAAAGAGTCTGAGGGCAGGACCCAGAGGCCTTTGAGGTTGAGTCACGTGTCCTTCCCAAACTTGTGTGTCCAGTAGTTTTACAAGATGTTGAGTGATGTCAAACTTCATGGAAGTGGGAATTGGGGAGATGCAGCATCTTGCAGGACTAGACTATTTGAAGGGAGTTTGTTGGGTAGAAAGAGTTAACTCATAAATAACAAGAGACGCACAGGGGAGGGGAAATAGCCTCCAAATTCCTAAGACCCATGTTTGATTGCAAATAAAAGCGACTCAAGCATTCACTCAGCCTTGCGCTAATCCGGCCACATTCCAGCCCCTCTCCCTCCCCACCCCTTGTCGGCCCTTACCAGAGGAAAATGCCAGAACGGGAGAGAAGAGGAGACAAGGCGGGGGGGGATCATCAGAAGCGATGCTCATTGTCTTAGCTGTATGAGAGCAGTGTACCCAAAGCCGCATGCAAATCATCTGTGCACTTGCAGAAAGACTAAATCAATTCTTTAAAGGCACAGTCCGGGTTGAAACTTCTATGCGTCACAAAATACAAGCCATGGAATCACTCATTACAATAATAAATGCATCTTCCTGCATGGTGCTAAGTAAGTGGCTTTGAAGGGATTTAGGGTATGAGCTGAGCAGGATGACGTGAATCCCATCTGGTGAGGTTCATGTTCATGTTCTAATGCCCTGAAGTCACCCCCCCCCTGGACTGCGGACACACAACCACCATCAGCAGAGAAAACAAGTTTCAGGGAAACAATAGGCACAGCCTCATTAGAGGATTCTAGCTGGCTGCAGCAACGAGCCAGTCAGCAAAATACAATGCACGCTTTTGTTACATCTCCTGAATTTCCTGTGCCCGGATTCCTCTCTACTGATACAGGGATTCAGCTTAGCAGCTTTATAACTGGCATAGGAGAGGGGGAAATCAGTGGTTTAAAAGAAATCATTAAGGGCGCTGACACAAGTGAAGGCTATTGCGTTCCTGAGAAGCACTGCACTGGGAGCTCAGATCCGAGGCTGTATCAGCAGGGACACTGGTGGGGCCACAGTTTTCTTGCCCCACTCCCCATCAAGCACCCACATTGCAAGCTCTGGATGAGAGAGGGTAACTCAGTCTCCAAGCCACACGAGCCCTTTGCTGGAGCGCTCTGCAGAAGGGCTATGTGGTGTTTCCTGTGATGTCATTGCTTGCAACCTGCACCTACCTTTCACATGGGATTTTGCCTAATTATGTCTGATCTCCGCTGACCTGTGGTCAGAATCAAAGGGTGAAAGGTTTCATATTTTGTTGCTTACCTATTGTTCTGCACCCCTTCCACATTGCCCAAATTACCCCCTACATCCACTTCTTTAGGATCTTACATACTTTTCCATGTATAGGAGAGCTTTGTAAAGGCCCTTTGAACATGGACCCAGTCTCTAAGCAACTGTGCATTGGAAGTTGCAGCTAAGTGGCTGTTGGGGGAAGGAAGCAGGACATTAAGACAGACGCTTGTTGACTGCTTCTGAAATTTGCTTCTAAAGGAAGTTTCCAAAGAAATGTCCATCTCTGTATAAAACAAAGGTATTTCCCCCTCTACTATACAGCACCCTAATTAATCTCCATCCCTTCCTATTCAGGGCAGTGGCCACAATGTTTCTGAGCCTAATGCTTACACAGTGAATGGTCTTTTTCTGGGCCACCTTAACGAGAAGCCAATTTTGTCTCTCTTGTTGCAGATGCTGGAGAGCTCTCCCGTCCTTTTGTTCACTGTCATCAGCCTGCTTCTCATTTTGCTGCTCCTTGTACTGCTCATTAGAAACAACGGCATCGCAGCCCTTATCTGGAATGAAATCATCCTGGAGAAAATAACCAATTTCATCATGGATCAGAGCAAAGAACAGAGGATTTTAAACTTTGTGCTGCAGAACGCTGTCAGAGGGGACCCCCAGAGCGTGGTGGACACCATCGATAAGTACTGCTCCCAGAAAGAGTGGGCCATGAATGTGGGGGATGAAAAAGGTAATCATAGCAGCAATAAGCTTTTCAAGGCCACTATGAGTTTGAGATGAGGATAATACAAGATGTATTATTCCAGTCCTTTGGCCCCTGCTGTTATATGAGAAACGCAGCAACCACATGGTCAGAAAAATATTTATATAACAATTACACTGGTCTCTTTGGGAGGAGTTAGCGCATTTCACTATGGAGTTGTAGGGACAAGATTTTATTTTTGTTGTGCTGTGCACACTGTTAAATAAGGGCATAGAGTGGTTAGAGCAGGGAGCTGAGAAGAAGAGTCTTTTCAGTTGTATTCCTGAATCTTCAAGCTTTCTTTGTGTAGCCTTAGAAAAGTTACCGCTTTTACCTGTCTGAGTGGATAGTATGGAACTTGTCTGCTAGGCAAGGCATAATTCACTGATGTTTGTAAAGCTCTCCAAGACCCTGCACTGGAAGAAAAGCACACACCCTTAAAATAATATGATTTTTGCATACAAATATTTTAGTTACAGGCAATGTATTGTTAAGGGAGGAGAAATCATATACATGTAAAACACATGAGAAATAGTCCAAAAATGAATGGGAGAATTAAATATTAGCACCAATCCAGAAGTAAATCAAACTTCTCTTAGCTAATCTGGCTCTTGCAAGAAACTAAAGAGACAATCCATGCCCTGCCAGACACACATTCATTGCATGCATTTAGATGCAAAGCAGTGAAACAATCTATTTACACCACTGTAGTGGCAGAATTTTAATATATGCTTCCTGTGAATTCCAGGGCTGAGCGTCTCTCTGAGAACATGACCTCTCACTTTTAGAGGCTGTGCAAAGACTGTGGCTAAGTACAGACAGTTAAAAAGCCCAAGACTGAATCAATTCAGTCTTTGTGGCTAGGGACAGACATTCAAAAAGCCTGAGCCTGAATTGCTTCAATATTTGTAGGTTAGTCTAACTTGGCTAGCCTAAATTGGTTTGTAACTGTACAGACATCCCCTCTGAACTGAAGAAATGCAGGCACATGCCTGCAGTGGCTCAGACTAGAAGCCAGGGGGTGCTAGAGTAGCCCTCCTTCCCATCTACAGTGCTCAGCTGAGTGGGGCATGGCCAGACCCCAGCAGAATGCTTTGATTAGGGAGGTGTTCCCCCCCACACAAGCAGCCCAGCAGGGAGTTGATATAACAGTGTTTAGTACCCCTAACTCAGTGTTTATCAGCCCATTAAGAAAACAACAGCCTCTTTCCATTAGTTCATGCTCTTCTTAAACAGCTGTTTTCAAAGAAGGAAAGGAGGGAGGTTACCAGCTCCCTCTTGATTAGCTCCAAAAAGCCCTAAGCCAACAGAGTCCTGTCTTCCTTTGTCCTGTTTCCCATGCCGCGGACCATAGCCATCAAGGAGAAGCAAAATGAGAGGTGTCTGTTTAAGGCAGAGGGGAGGGAGGGAATCCCTGCTACAGCAAGGAGTGGTGACGGGGGAAGGGGAGAGCAGGAGTAAGCCAGGCAGACCCTGCTGTGCCTACAGGTCTCTGCCAGAGCTGCAGCCAGGGAACAGAGGGGAGGGTCCAGCCCAGCTCTCTGGAGCAGAGACCCCTGTCCAGCCCAGAGCGCATGACGGGATGCTGTGGAAGTCTCATTTAACTCAAACCAGGGAGGGGTCTGGGACAGACATTGCATAAACCAGTTTGACCCAAATCAGTTAAGTCTGATACTACATTCAGCCAGGTTTATCTCAAACTTGTTTCACCCATTTTGAAACTGGTTTATGTGCACTGAACTTCTGTTCTGTTGCAGGTTTAAACCAGTTTCTGATCACTTAAACTGGTTTATGTGTAATGTCTGTCCCTAGCCTGTAGGTTAGTCTAAACGTTTTTGTTTTTTTTTCTTTCTTTAGCCTGTAGGTTAGTCTAAACTGCACAGATTAAATTGAAAAATAAGTGAACAGACATTTACCTTTGATTCAGGAAATGCAGCCACATGCCTGCAGTGGCTCAGGCTAGAAGCCAGGGAACACTAGAGCGCAGGTCTCTGGCTGTGTTCATTTTCTCTTCCTGCTTCCAGGTGTCTCTGGGATTTGTAGTCCACAGTTGTAGCCAGCAGTAAGTTTAAGCGGAGGAAGGGGTGTTTAACACCCCTCCCTGGCCCCAGACCCCAGGTAGGGTTTGCTTGGGTGGGCAGTCCTTTCCCCTTGCAGACTGGGCTGCATCCCCAGCTGGGCTTGCCCCCTTCACTCCCTTGTCAGCCAGCCTTCACTGCTCCAGGTAGGGAGCAGAGGGCGGGGCCAGCACTGCTCTCTGGAGCAGACAGCACAGCCCAGCCTAGGGCTGAAAAGTATGCTGGGATGCTGGAGGACTGTGATTTAACTTGAACCAGGAAGGGGTCTGGGACAGAAGTTTCATAAACTGGTTTGACCCAGATCAATGAAGTCTGATACTACATTCAACCAGGTTTATCGTAAACCAATGTCAGCCATTTTGAAACTGGTTTAAGTGCACTGAACTTCTGTTCCGTTACAGGTTTAAACCAGTTTCTGATCACTTAAATGGGTTTGTGTAACTTCTGTCCCTGTCTGTGAGGTTAACTATAACCAAGCAACTGAATTTTCACAGTGGGCAAGGAGAACCTTTGTGTTTTATATCCAGTTCATGGAAACATTCTGGGGTTATACGAGCAGTGCATTTAGGGTAAAAATGGTAGCACCCAATAGCTAAAAACAAATTGTTAGAATTCTGACCCTGGTAATTTGGGCCAGGTATTCAACATCTTTTGTTCAAATGAGATGTCCTTTGCACTGAGTAAAAGTTTGCTGGAGTGAGAGTTAAGGACCTCGTGACTTGGCCCATTATTTATGGAATTGTATAATGACATTGTCTTACGTTATTTAGCTGCTTTCAAAACCTGAAAGAATGCCAAAGTCACGTTGCTCCTCAGTAAAGAGCAGTCACATCTGTGTCTTTAAATAGCACCTAGGTGCAAAGCAATTACTGAATATTCAAAATAAAAAGTTGGCTAGGAGACTGGGGTTGAAGGTGGGAGAAACTTAGCATGTGTTAAATAGGATCTTGACACCATGTGGTCAGAACTTCCATCTTGTATCTCATTTCAAACAACAGATTTAATCTTATGGAGCTAGAACAAGAATTTCAGACCTTCCAAAAAAGTACAGTGATACCTACTGAATCATCAGCATTTGTGCTGGCATTGCTGCTTTTTTTTTTTTTTTTTGAGATTTCATACAGCTATTCACCAGAACAGTGAACAGGAATTTCTAGTAGAAATGTTGACATGCCCTGTGCTCTGGCATGTGCCAGCAGGTACTTCTACAGTAAGTTAGGCCTGTTTTTGTAGGAACTGGCTGATGTGCAACCAACCAGGCAAAATGCCAAAGTTCTCTGTCTTGCTTCATTTTTTTGTTCCTGTTATTGGAGAAAAATTAATTGATCTGACACACAGATTCTGAACTCAGAAAAATATCTAAGTAAATACCATAGTCAGTGTATAGGAAGACATCCCTACTCTACACTAAATCAGAACACTATACCATGCTACATATACCCTAATGAAACAAATAATGCCATGAATAATCATGAAAACAAAGCTGCATGAAGAGACTGCTTAGAGCCTGTTGCATAGATAATATAGGGCTGTGAGTTGTACCATTACAGGCAACAGTAAGTGCTCAAACACAATGGTATTTGAACAACATTGACAGAAGGGAGAACACCAATTATTACCATGGAAGTCACTGATCAATAATGCAAGAAAAGTACAGTTGCAGCACCTGTTTAGAAATGTGCTAATAACGCACGGTGAGAAGTGAAAGCTAAATTATACTTCTAATTAGGGCTAGTAGGCCAGTCGATTGTACCCTAGGAGACTTTCCATCACCATATATGAAAGTGGATGGAATATAGCAATTAAGACATTACTTAACAAATCAGGCAGCTTCACTTTTGCAATATTGTTGGAGTCAAAGGCATATTTCACTTGGATCAGCCCTTAAAATCTCTCGTCTCTTCTTGCATCTTTGCCATCTTTGGGTGAGTCCTATTGTGCATTCTCCCTGGCTCTCTTCCCCATGCTCTCCTCTCTGATCTGTATTCTCTGTCTCTTGTTCTTTGCTCTATTTTCTCACTGGTTTTGCCTATCTGCTGTCTCCCCATTGTTCTTCTTTTGGCACCTTTAGCCCTGTCTCTATTGTTGACTTCCATAGACTGCTATGTTGCTTTGCAGGTTGAAACACTGCAGAAGGGAAATGCTATGTTGCTTTGCAGGTGGAAATGCTGCACATTTGCTTTCTTATGCGTTTGTCTTCTGCAGCCTTCCCATAGCACTTGAGAATACCAGATGGAAACTGTCTGAAGGTTCCTTGAACAGGGAGTTTATGATGCAGTGAAAGTGGCTGGATGCTGCAGTGCCAGTCCGTTCTCTTCACACCAGCAAAACACTTGGGGCAGAAGCTGACTCTTTGAAGGCAGTTCACACTTGGCTTGCGATGAGAAAATGACCAGAATCAGATCACTCTGAACCCTTAGGCTTTACAACTGGCTTTGACTAAATCCCCAAAGGGCTTTTTGGCGGACTTACATAGAGGGGTGCCTGGCTCAGGCCCTTTCTGGCTGGGCACTTGACACACTTACAGAGTTGCAGAGTTCTTGCACTCGCTTCAGACAAGAAAGTAGTGTCCCTGGGAGTTCTGGATGGTGGTCACATGGAAAGGCACTGCAGAAGCGAGTGTAAAGCAGGGAGATCAGAATGGCAGCGGTCCTTGCTGGGATGTGCAACCACCCAGGCAAAATGCTACTGTTCCCTATTGCTTCTTTATTTAATTTAGTGGAGGGAAGTTAACTGATCTGACACTTGCTTTTAATTCCTGCAATTTGGAGACTAAACAAGCTCTTCTCGGTTACAAATGACAGTAGCCCAGGATGAGGTGTGTGCTTATACGGGGTAGATGCATACATCAGGGACATGACACAGCAGCCAATTAAAGATTAAATGCCTTCAGTTTTCCTTTTATATTCCTAACTGTTATAGGTCATGTATATGGAGCCTTTGACAGCTAGCTAGATCTTTCATTCATAATAACTATTTCTTTAGCTGAAAGTTTTACACTGCACGTGCCCTGTCTGCAAAAAGATTTGAACTCACAACATTCTCAAATTGTGCATTCCTCATGTATGGATAGGTTTTACAACAAGCAAGTGATCTTTGAAGATGCTGCATTTTCACCCATGATTATGCTGTTCTGTTGAACTAGGCCCATCAGAATCATTTTCTTTGGGCACAAAGAACCTACTTCCTATTTGGAAGGTTTAAAATCTGAAACATAAGTCAGCAATCATTTTTCATATCAAAACATGGGGACATTGAAATTGTCACCACACAGGAGGTCAGATCACAATGTTCCCTGAAGTCACCCCCATGCATAAAAGAAGTTGTGAAAGCATTCATGAGACCATGTTGAGTCCTCACATGCCGCTGGTGCAGTCTGCAGCATTTTTCACTTGATGTGCTTAATTGGGTTCTTACCAAGACTTCAGGACCTCTCCAGATCAACAATGATTTATGTAGGAGCCACTTTGCAAAAGGATCCTTAGATAAACCTTGACATCAACCCCCACACATTTTGAACCCCCTGGTAACTTCATAAATTAAATTGTGAGCGTTTTTCTGGTAACTTCCTGCCTACACTTGATGCTGTTTAATTTGTCAGAAGCTCACCTGTTTCCCTTCTACTCAGGTTTGATTCTAGATAAGATACTGGAGGAGGCCAAGCCCTCAACCTCATTGGAGCTGGGAACATACTGTGGTTATTCAGCTGTGAGGATGGCTCGGCTGTTGAAGCCCAGCGCCCGCCTGCTTACCATTGAGTTCAACGCTGAGTTTGCTGCCATTGCCAAGCAGATAATTGAGTTTGCTGGAGTACAAGAGAAGGTACCTCTGATTTGTCTGTGGCTGTTGAAAAAAGGGCGAAATGGACGTTATGACAGAAAAAATGGTAGGGAGGTATTTAAATTATAGCCTTTATGCTGAGATAAACATAGCTATTGCAACACCCTTGGCTATTTCAGCAGTGAACAGAGATTGACAACAAGGCTCAACTCTATGATCAATGTATTAAGCTGAAGAATGTCTAATGGGCACTGGGTCAGATCATTGCTCCTTTTCACATGCAAAATATTGAAGACAAATCGGTGTTTAGCACAGATGCTCCGGTCAGCTGCTGTTCAGTTCTAAGCTGGGGTCACAAAACTGAAGTGTGTCCAAAAATCAGAGCTAGAATTGGAATTTGGAAGTGCCGGTGACACGAACTAGTCTGACACTTAGGCTAGAGCAAGGCTTGAAAGGGACATGTGCAGAACCAGTGGCCTGAACCTGAAGTTTGAAAACATCTTGCGAGTTTGGCCCATTCCCTAATAATTGGTTATTGCTGTAGGCAGATGACCTGGAGATGGGCCATAGGACCATGGAACTGGAAAGGGCTTCCTACCTCACTGATTCGAGTCCCCTGCTATCACACATAACTGTGTCATATCATCCTTCTCATTAACTCATCAAGCTTAGTCTTAAAACTAATTAGGTTTTCACCTCTCCTGCTCCAATTCGAATGTTGCTCCAGAACTTAACTTTTCCGATGACTAGAAACTGTCTTGTAAATCTCCAGCCTGCCTCCTCTCATGGCCAGCTAATGCCATTTGTTCTTGTGCCAGCAACGTCCTTCAGCGTAAGCAGTTCTCCTCTCTCTCTCAGGATTTATTTCCCTGATATGTATCTAGAGTAGTAATTCTTAACCAGGATACCTGGAGACCCTTTCAAGGGTGCTCACAAGGTTAGCACTCGTAGGTGTTCAAGCATGATTTGCAAGATAAACCCAGAGGTTTCACAGAGGAATCCGTAGTATTGCACCTATTCTGACCTGCTGTGGTCTCTCTGACTTCTTTGCATCAGGGGAATTTCTCTGCTATTTTTCTGTAGTCAAAAAACAAATCAAAACTAAGATCTTACATTTTCTGAGGCATGCCTCAAGTCTTAAAGGTTGAGAACCACTGATCCAAAAAGCAATAGTCTCCCTTCTCATCCTTCATTTAGCAATTGTTGAACAAGTCATGATCTTTTTTAATGCCCTCTCCATGACCCTGATCATCCCCAAAGCCCTTTTTTATGGCCATTCTGGTTCAAATCCATCTTTCTCGAGTGTGCAGGACCACAGTCTTCCAAATGAGGTGTCACCAGTACTTTGTACAACGGCATTAATACTTCCCTACTTGCACAGAAAACACCTGACTTTATCCATCCTAAAATTGCATTTGCTTTTTTTGCAACCGCATTGACAGTTGATAAACTTTTTTGTGATTAACAAATGCATCGGTTTCCTCCGCTTTTGTTTTCCCCTGATGAGCCCCTGTGTAACAGCAGAAATTCTTGTTGTTAGCCCCAAGTACACGAGCTTACATTTTGTACTGTTCCTTTGGTCATACTCAAGGTGATTCCATTCTTCCTATCTGAGATTCCTGTTCTCTGTATTAACAACATTTCTGCATTATATGTCGACAGCAGATTTCATTAGCAGACTCTCACTTTTTGTGCCAAGGTCATTAATGATATATATTAAATAAGATCCCAGATCAATTCTTGAAGAATTCTGGCAAAATTGACAGTTCGGTTTCTCTAAGATCTGTTGTGGTCTCCCCATTAGCCAGTTCCTTGCCCCTCCTGCCCCGTCAGGCTAGCAGCTTCCCACATGGTGCCACATCAAATGTCCAACTGATATTACCTTGAGGTTTCCTCACTTCATGGTTACCTTTCTGCCTGTCTGCATTCATTCTTGTCTTCTTAGATTGTCAGCTCCATGGGACCAGGAACATCTTTTTGTTGTGTGCGAGTCTGACACCTAGGACAGTGAAGCCTGTGCATGAGTAGTGCCCCTAGGGGCTACAATAATGCAAGTAATAAATAGCAACAATCACACTGAGAATAACTTGGGTTTTTGGCATCCAATCACAATTTTCTGATCCGTGATCGGTCATTAACTAGTGACCTCAAACAACACTGCTGAAAATGTCACTGTATTATCACAATCGTCTAAGCTAAAACATTGATTCCCTGATATAAACTAAAAGCTCCAAATCAATACTGAGGTTTCACTGACGAAGGATCTGGACTGTATCCTTCGTGCTGCTGCGGTGTCAAAGGCAGCAACTTAAGTGTCCTTCCCAATCGACTCCAAACACTGTTCAGTCCTTTTCTTGAACAAAGGTTGAAATAACAGCTCTGCATAAAGTTGCATTTTCCAGCTCTGAGTGAATCTACTGATCAGTTATGATTCATAAATCAACAGTCAGACTTCTTTGACTTTTTTTTTATTCGCACCATATGGTACCCGCTTAACAAATACAGGTGCTTCAGTGTCGTTCAGCTTGTGCCAATAAACCTCTAATCAGGATGCGATGGCCCCTACCCTGCTTGTACTCTCTGCTGACTGCAAATTAGAACAGAGTGTTATTTTATCTCAAACTGTGTACCAGCCTAAACAATCTCAGTCTTTTTAACCTCCCCTCTGTACGACCTGTTTCCTTTGGGCTGGAAGGCTTGACTGAGATGTGACTAAAATTCCAAGCTAAGTCAAACACTTTTCATCTGTGGATTCCCCTGTGGATAGCAGAGAGCCGCATTACCCAACAGAGCCAAGGTCACGGAGTTCCTATACTTGCACAGAGAGAAAAAACATTTTGAAAAAAAATAATTGAGTCAATTTATCAAAAAAGCTCATGTGGCCCAAACCCAGCCAGTGCAGTTCAGCTGAATTTATACACAAGGGCTATTAACACAATCACTGAAGTCTGACCACAACTTAAAAAGAGCTAGGGGCATTGTGCGCAAGAGAGAAAGATAACAAAAAGGTTCACAGATTAACCAGAGATGAATTTCCTTTTCAGGTCAAAATTCTAGAAGGCCCTTCAGAGGAAATTATCCCACAGCTGAAGAAAAAGCATGAAGTGGATACACTGGATTTTGTCTTTCTCGACCATTGGAAAGAAAGATACACACCAGATACTATCCTGTTGCAAGTGAGTTGAGCCAACTTCAATCCTAACAGTCAAGTAGCAAATGTCTAGATTTGTACAAAATCTGCACCCCCCCATAATATTTGCCCCCCACTCCCTCATAATATTTGCCAAGTGCCTATTTCCTATAAAGGGGGAATATCACACCTCACTAGGTCTTGTAGCAAGTACATGGAGATGTGACAAAAGGAAGCAGAACCCCAGATTCACAGTGGTGCATAAGGCCCTCAACTCCCGTCCATGCTGGTGTCACTGGAAGCTGAGGATACACAGTATCTTCCAGGGGTTGCTCTACTATCTGCAGCCTCAGAGCCTTGGTTTCCTGTATGACAGACGTGAAAGAGAAATCCCAACCAGAACTGCCCATCAAAGATGAAGTCCAGGCCTGGGTCTGAACTTCTTTGCTTAAACCTCTCTGAACCAGACTAACTTAGAGCACTTGACCCCAGATGTCTTGAAAAGTGGAGAAGTTCAGATGCCAAACCCTAACTTCAAAATTTGGACCCTCTTCTGATATCCTGATGGGAAACTCCCCTGGCTTTCACAGGGATGTGCTGCCACCAGCGCCTCTTGATGGGATTCTCTCCTCGTAATGCCCTTTGTCCAATTTTCGACACATCACTTGGGTCTTCTTGCCACCCTTTGGCTATGGAGCAGCCCTTAGTGCCATGCAGAACTAAACCATCCTGGGCACTCATTGCAGTTCAAATTATTTTCCATCCACAGCTTGGGGTGAGGAGTGTCAGCCAGAAAAGAAGGTGATAGTGTCACAGTTCTGTTGTTGCCATGATGGGATATGCAATAAGCAAGATTGGTTTGCTAATATCTTTTATAGGACCCACGGTGTAGTTGGGAGATATGTTAGATAAACTTTCAGACACAGTAAAAGAGAACAGCTACTGCGACTTCATTACAAAGCTAGGTGGCAACAGTAGCAACAGCAAATTGTGGGTTGTTTGACCAACCGGTAATGACAAACTAGAACTGTTAAGGATCTTGGGGGTAATTCCAAATAACCCAGCAATTAATCACAGCGTCTATATTTATAAAACGGCACATAAGCAGATATTATCCCAGAGAGCATCAGGAGTGCCATTAAACCTAGAGAGCTGGTGATTACCAAATAGCTAATTAGAAGGAAATGCCAGCTTCAGTTGCAGTTACATTCTCCACAAATATCTACCCGCTCTCTGTTTTATGGGACATGCTCTTACTTTCAGATCAGTCACTACTTCACTGAGCCTCACAGTACCCACATCCCCCCTTGGTCAAAGATCATCAGCTTCAGTGCCCGCTAGAATACAACCACGGCTGCCTGGTAAACTCCCATCATTTCTCATGTTGCCCCTCTCCTTCTCCAGACAGCTGTTTAAATAGGGAAGGGTTTGCTTGGGAGAGGGTTTTTTTTTTTAAAGAAACTCACTACTGAATTTTCCTTTCAGTAACTGGAAGACAGTAACTGTTTTCCTTTCCTCTGAAATGTCTTTCCTCAGCACATATCTTCCCTTTTAAGCTTGCTGTAAAACTGCTTCCAAGCTCCCTGGTATTTGGAGGGCTAGAATGTCCTTTTTCAGCACCGAGCCTTCAGAAAACAGCCAAAGCAAAGCTTTGAGTCATTTAGCTCCATCCTCCTCAGCAGTTTCTGGTTGCAAACCACAGCACTGTTTTGCTTATTCTAACAAATGAATTCAGTGCAGCAGTGCTAGGGGATTTTAGCTGAGATCGCCGAAGTAAATACCCACGAGGTTTCCCCCAGGCAGAAAGAACATGTTTCTATGGCATTTCTAATGAGCATTTCAGATGGCCCATGCTGTTCCCCCTTTCCCACAGTGCTGAATAAAGGTCCTTGACACAGGGAGCATGCACCAGATTTCAGTGGCGTTGTGATGATACAGCAGCTCGGGGCGGGGAAATACAGCTGGAGAAATGCCATTTCCACTCCCAGGTTTCTAATCCACTTAGTGAGAATTACAGACCAGGGGACACATAGTGCAGACCCATCGCTTCTGCTCTGCCTCATGCAACATTAAGGGCCCAGCATGGTGAGCTAGCAGCTTCTAGTCTATCCAGTCTGCTTAATACAGATGACCTCGTAGGGACCCATATCATCTATAGTGTCCTGAAGCTGTTAAGGAGCACCCTAAAGAGTGTCCAGCAGCTGCTTCTTGTCACTGTAGCCAGGAAATGCTGCTGGGGCTTTTATTGCTGGTAAGCTCAGGGAGGCAATTTCTGTTCATTTGTTAAGGAAAGATACAAGTACAAGTAAATACAGTTGGAGAACTGCTTCTGAATGTCACTGTGTGCTTCACGATGATAATAGTGCCCCAGGACTCCTTGGAGCATGCCGGCCTGTCCCTTTGGGGCCCTGCCACCCAAGAAAACAACAGGGCAGCTGGGCCGAGGGTCAGCAAGCAGAGGAGCTCTCAGTCTTCAGTGCACTTTTTCTCACAGTAGTGTTGGTGCCTGACTGAGGCTGTCCTCACCAGAAGGCTTCACGAACATGTGCGGGGGCTTTTAACATGCTTATGCTAAAATGCCTTTTACGTGCATTCATGCCCTGAGACATGGGAGGAAAACCCTCCAAATGTTACCCAGCACAGTGCTGTCTTCTGAACTCCCCGCAGAGACATCGCCTTAAACCATGCCAGGCCCTTGGTCATTGCAACAGGCTGTTGAATGTGAACCCTAATGATGTCAGGCTCCCATGAGCACCATTAAGACTTTTACTGTTGATCATGTTAGAAGAAAGATCCGACTTTTCAGATCTTTTTTGAAGAGCAGCCCCTCCCTCCCCTGTCAAGCTTATATTAGAACCTGTTACTTTGGGAGCATATTTGAGGATGAAATGTCTCTCATGAAAGCATATTGCACATGTGCTAAAAAATATCTTAGCCCCTTCTACAGCAAAGAAAATCACTTAGAACAAGTCTGTCTTCTTTCTAGGAATGTGGCTTGCTGAGGAAGGGCACGGTTATCCTGGCTGACAATATAGTCTGTCCTGGGGCTCCTGAGTTCATTAACTACATCCGCAATAACAGTCATTTCGAGTGTACCAACTACCCGTCTCACCTGGAGTACATGAAGGTCAAAGATGCCATGGAGAAGGCCGTGTTTCTGGGATAAAATGAAGCCCTTGGTACCCAAGTGCTGTTTCAAAAATTGTAAATGCAACTGCACAAGTTAACTGTGTTCATGCTTCAAGTTTAGCTTTCTGTATTTCAAGGCCTGTAATTAAAGCAAATTCTAACAAAGGGAGTTTAGAGGAGGGGGACCAAGATTTAGAGTGGGAGTATAGACAAGGTAACTAGCCGGAGATGAGATGGAGAAGGCTGCTTTTATCTTTTCACGTGGCCTCCCCCACCCCAGATAAAACTTCCCTTAAATTAATCTCTGTGTTGCCAAACAGCAAAAATAATCTTTTTATTTTGAGTTCAACCCCCTAAGAGCCAAGAGTGAAACAGAAAAATCACAGCAGCTGCTGCGAGCTTGTGTCCCACAGCCAAACAGACTAATCGCTGTTGAGAAAGAAACACCCCGTTGGCAGGGAAGGAGTACTTCAGCAGCATTGATTTTGCTGAATTACTGGCAAGGCGCTGCTGGGATGAATCCTAGTTACACCACAGATATTCAAAGGTGGCTACTGGTAAAACGACACTGTGGCCTGTGCTGGAGGAAAGGCAGACTGGGACTGCCTGCCAGCAGGGGCTGGCATTGGGAGGGAGAAAAGACTGCTGTGGGTGGTGAAACCCAACTGGACAGTGGACAACGCTGTAGGTAGCAAGGAGGGGAAGGCTATAAGAGCTAGATGGGCCAAAGGATACATTTGCAAAAGACAGGGAACAACTTCTTCTAACAAAGTGCTCAAAATAAGTAAACTGCCAAGACCTTGTTCAAACACCATTTTCCAATCCTTTGCGTAGTACCTAAGAGAACTCACCTCCTTGGGGGCAGGGCATGTCTCTTCCCCTGGGTCAAGTGCTGGGTAACCAGAAGGTGCTCTCTAATGGGACACAACAGGCTGTGCCTTTCTGTATACCCTGGGTAATATTAATGCTATAGTAAAGTGCTGTCAGTACCCAGTGTTAGCGTCATCAAGGTACGAGGCTGCACTCCAAGTAACTTTTCTCTCCTGAATGGTGCACTAATTCAATGGCACGTCTCAGAGTGCCCCTTGATGTGGTAGAATGATGCAATGTTCACTTTTGTAAATAAAAAATAAGGAGGAAAATGACTTGTGCCGTTACTGAGCAGGAGCATGAGGCACCATTTTGCTTCACGCAGACTCTGGCCAGCTCCAGGCACTTTGATCCATGGTTCAGC